TGATCTGCAAAGCGACCAATCATGGCATGATATTCAATTTGTGTGATCAACCAATCACGAGAAAGTCTGCCTATATGGACGTTAACCCGAACCGAACCCGACCCGAAATTATCCAATTTAGAGATCCTCGAAATAAGCATTTTATGTTTTTTTTTGGTTCTAATAGCAAGTGCATGTGTATTTCTGTATTTTTAAATAATAAAACCTCAAAAGACAGTCAAGTATGTACCAATCAGATTTCTTCAAACGATCGACACTCGATTTTAAGGCCGCAGATCTGCAAATTTTGAATGCGCAACCAAAATTCAGCCGATCGCCCCGGATTTAGGGTCAGAATGGGCCGGATTTGATGAAATTTTCTAAATTATCACAAATTTTTACTAATAAACTGGCAGCCTGTATTTTAAGTAAAATTGCTCAGCTACTAATTTTGCTATAGTATAGTGTGGTTAGCCAGTATTATTGCTTAATGCCGGTCAAGCTCCGGCCCATTCCGACCCTAAATTCGGGCCGATCTGCTGAGTTTTGGTTGCGCTACAAATCTATCCGCAAATTTTGGCCCACATTACTAATTTCCAGCCGTAATTAACTTTTGACTTTTTCATTACAATAATAGAAATTTTTGGAAAATAATCCCGCATTATGTTAATATTGACCCAGGAACAATTTTCACTTAATAGGCTCTGTGGTTTCATTAGTGGAATTCCGAGTAATTCCGGTCAAATTTTTTGATCGTCGCTCTTAGCCAATCAAAATCAAGAATATGCCGTAGCTAGGATTATTAAGAAAGCTAGATAGGTGATCACATTTTAAAAAAACTGTCGATACGTAACTTGAAATTTCGACTATGAAACCACATTCTGCGCTCTAATATAAAAGAACTCTAATTTCTAATCTAGATTTTTTACTTTAAAATATTAAACAAATTGAAATTGGCTTGATTCTTCGAAGAGATCTGATTGGTGCATGAATAATTTAACTGCTGATTTTGTTTTAATAATCGCCTAAATTCTTTTTAACTTCGAACAATAATTTCTCGACAACAAAATCAGTAAAGTTTTTTTACATTAATTTCATGAATCCATAGGATAAAAAAAAACTTTCATTGATTCTGAATATGCAATGCACGATTCTTACTGTAGTAACCCGCTGAGTTTTTAAGTATACCGCGCTTAGATTTGATTAGCCAACTTCGATGACCATTGTTACATGACTTATTAAACGTTTAAGAGCAAAAAGGGCGATTTAATTCATTTTTTTAAAAAAATTTAATTCGGGTTCGGTTCGGGTTGAAGCTCTAACCCGAAAATTGTCAGCCCGACCCGTTCGGAGCACTAATTCTGGCTAAGTTTATGCCCACGGCATTGACAGTAGTGATACACAAATGCAAGAATCATACTAATCCTACAAGTATTACTATTTCTATCAGACATTACTATATTTTTATTATTTTTATTATATATCGTAGTTCTATTATTTTTATTATATGTATCAGCTATATTATATCGAAAATAATTAATAGATAGAGTAGATATAGTATCGTTTACATTTGTAATATTTTCTTATCTTAATTGAAGAATATGTATAAATATCCTCGATTTCTTACCAAGAATCGACAGCTCAAAACTCAAATTAATAAAATAAAATACAAAATCGTGTCTTCATATACGAGATGAAATCCAAACCGATTGTTAAGAGATTTAACAGTCTTTATCACGTGATAACCGTGAGGAGATTTCGCGATCACATATCTTATTTATTGTTGAATTCACCTTATACGACCACTTATATCTTCATATACAGTTAGCGTTTGCTCTTACATAACCGCAAATCATATAAAACATCTTAGTATTCAAGTTGATATTCTATTGATTATTAGATAGAACGCCAAGCATTTATTTTATTATCAACGCATCGAACCGATTAGAGGTAGTTTGAGTGTAACAGTATTAAATAAGACTCCCTGCCGTAATAGGTTTGGTGTTGCAACCTTTTACCTTGAAATTGTAATTTTTTGCCGTAATAGGTTTAATAGTTGTAATGGTTAATGTTGTAATGTGTGATGCAGTCTCACTAAACCGGTAACAGAAGTGCACAAATGATAACTATATTATTAATGAGATTGTAATTTGTAAACTTACAGTTTGATTATTACAGAATTACCCTATATATGCAGTGCAGATTCCCATCAAATTAAACTCTCAACAAATTCATATGAATGATAATAGGAACTTTTTAAAATAATATTAAAGTTTATACGAACCATTGTGCAGTTTGTATTATTTATGTCAGAATAAGAGGTGCGCAAATTGTAAATTGGTTAAATTTCATGCGTAAGAGAATATTTTAGAATTTCTTAAGAGTTTTAAAATATTTCGGAATATACTTAAAATTTGGCTCGCATTGAAAAGTTCCGAAAGATTGGCGGTATATTATTACTGTATTCAGGTTTATTTTTATAGGCTGTTAGAAAGATTAATATAATAGTCATTATGGCTACAAATTAAATCAAGAAATAATGATTAGTTTAACTTAGATTATAAATCGCTATATTTAAATGCTGCCTCAATTAAATTCTGGAATGAATATTTAAGGTTTAATTATGTCAGATTTATCATATTAAAAAATTGACATGCTTCGATATAACCACCGTGTTATTTTCACGATATGTCCTGAATATAAATACCATTTTAACTATTGTATCATGCTTCGTTCTATTATGCTATGTCTTATTCTAACTATTGTGCTACATTCTGTTCTTTGTTATGCTATGTTTTGTTATAAATATTGTGCAATATCCTGTTAAAACAGGCATACTGTTTTTATATAATTCTCCTTGAATCATGTCTGATCACATGTTTGACAATCTAAATAAAATTATAATATAGTAAATGTTAAATAGCTTAGCTTACGTTAAATATTTGAATTAACCAATAATATTCATGCTCATGTGCTAAAATAACAAACAAAATCAAATACGTTTAAAACTTTACAATTAAACTAAAAATACTTCATCAGATTTGGTCATGTGGGTGCCGAGATTAAAAGTTAAAAAAAATTATCAAATTATTATTAATACTAAAAATGGTAAATTCTTTTTATTTTGTGGTGGTGCTAATAATGTGCTAATGGTGGCGTGTCTACTCATCTAATTGGAGATATTATTTCATACATCAATAAAAAGTTGGAAGAAATATCAACAACGAGGGACAATCATTTAAAATGAAGATCTTACTCTCGAATTTTCTTTATTAGAAAGAAACGATAAGGTTATTTGTACATTTAGGCTTTATCTATGCATATCTGATTGGTATATCAAGTACAGGCGATCTGTTGAAATTAGCGAATCAGGATGATCTCAGATTAACGTTGAAGAAACCTGTTATAATGTACACAACTCCGGTTATATCGACACACATTAAAATTAAAGAAATTGCCAGGTGTCAGTTTGACCCAAGACATTTTCATATTAAGTGCATAATTTCAAAATCTAAAAAAGTTATAGCCAGCTGTCGGTTTATGTAGGCGTCGTTATAACCAGAGTTACTGTTGTGTATGGTTGGCCTTTTTTTTGTTTTTTTGGGAGTCGTTAACAGTAAATTTTAAGCACAGTTACTAAGCCATACAATCATACAGCCACATACGTATGTGACCTCCTGGTGACGCCAATATCAATTCTGCTATTATCTTTTCTATCCTTTACTACAGTAATGATGATCGATCGATCAATATTTTTAGATTAAATATAAGATTGATTGTTCGTTGTTCAGTCTTTTTTTTTATTTCTTCTTTTTTACGATATAATAGTGATAATGTTTTAGATTGAATTTAATGATTTCTATATTCGATTTTGTTATAGCATTGATAGAAAAAATCGTTGGTCATTAATATAAAGTAATTAGCTATAGTATGATCGATTACCATCTCAAGTTCAAATTTAATGTTCCCTAGCGATCTTCAAGATTGCAAAAAACGATTTACCAAGATTAACGATCATCATGCAGGATTTACTGTATGCATGATTGTTTAAATGTCGCAATCCGGGCAAGATACAACTTTCAAGACGAAATTACAATATTTTGTCTGAAAAAGTATCAATATGCATTAACTGCCAACAAGTTTACATACTTTTTGTGGTGGATTTGAAGCTTAAATTCGTATTCTTTTATCCTTCTGAATTATAAACTTAAATAAATGAAGTCTCTATCATTTTTCATACTTACGGTTGTTAAATTTGGCATCTTTCTATGGTCTATTCTATCAGTGAGACTTGTTCAAAGTGATATAGACAACTTCATATATACAGAAAACTCTAATATTACTGGAAAACAACCTTTCGTCTTGGGTATTTGTCATTATGAAGACAATACTAATACTGTAATTATTCGTATAGGTCGGGACAACAGTACTGGTTATATTAGATGTTTTGAGCAGAGTTTATTACTTCGCGTTATTCAAGCAAATGGAAGCGTCATTGAAATAAATTATGACAATATTGAGGAAATACAATATATTAATTATTGTTATGTTAACGGTGTTAAAAATCCTATAACAATATACCCATTGTTTGATCAATACATTCTAGTGACATACACTCATGCAACTAATATCTCTGATAATACAACTTTTATGGACCGTGGAGTGGTTTTAGATTGGAGTGGAAAAAATATAAGGTTTGGTTTAAAATACAATTAAGCAATTAAATATTTAATAGTAATAATTAATTATATATTGTATGACAGTAAAATCGACTTTGGGCCATCTAACTTGATTCTAGGCACAACTATTTGGCAGCCAATTAATTATTTAGTAAATAACATTGCCCCTAAAAAGGGTTTCTTACGTTTATCTGCGGCGACTGGAACAAATTATTTCGAATGGAAGCAATATGAATAGTAAGTTGCATTCTCGTATTTGTTAATTACAAATACACTCGTGATTCAATTAATTTTTTTTTTTTTTTTTAGTAAAGGCAATGGAGTATTTGATTTATTACAAAATGGCACGCTCAATATTTCAAGCGACTTTCAAATCAGTTTACTTGGAACTTTAGATGGTGGATATGCGATTATATATGCTAACACAACTAATAACAATAATATGGCTTCAAATTATACGTTAGCCGCTCAGTTTACCACAAATGCAGGATTGTATGCCATAATGTTGGGCTATAATCAAACAAAGATAAACAAGACAATTGTTTTAAATGAAATATCGACTCCTAATGTTAAAATAAAATTCACTGCTTTGCTTTGCACAATTAACTACCTTTCCGTTGGTCATACATGCATGGTAGCAGGAATACCCATGCAAAATTTTACAACTCCAACAACAACTACTACGCAAGCTCCAACACCCACAAGGGTTACAGCAACTACGACCGCTGCTATACCGGTTACCACCACGCCAGTTACACCATTCTATATTAAAGTACATTTTCTTTCCACCGGCTCTGTGCTAAATGTGGAAACAAAATTCAACATACCTTTGAATAACATAACGGCTATTAGAGCAGTACCATTTGGAGGATACGCATTAATGTCATATTCTTATAATGGACAAGTTATAAATTTAAATTTTAGTCTTTATGATGATTATAATAATTGGTCTAACTGGGTATTCCCGTGGCAGCCTATTGTCTCAAATTTAGTTGGCGCGTTTGATATATTGCAAAATAATACATTACTAATTGCATTAAATGAAACAACTACCGCTTGGAATCTCCTTTTACTAGATTTGCCTCAACTTACGTATAATGGTAAATCATTTTTAATTAATTAAATAATAATTATCTGTTATTGCCCTTATTTATTTATTTATTTTTTATTTGGACTAAATCCTATTAGATAGTGGTTATGGTAATCTGCAAGTAAATTCTACGTACCCTCTGATAGACTCTAATAATCTTACACTAAATTTCAACTATATTAATATCACATATCAATATCCTGTTTTATTTGCGGATGGCATTTTATATATCTATCAAAAAACCAATCAGAGTGATATTCTTCGACAATTGATTAGATCAAAAAATTGTAATACTAGCGAATGCAATATTTTGGACAATGTTGTTACGCTCTATGTGCTCAATTGTACTTTTAATCAGCCGGGTGGGCAATATTATATACAAATAGAAGACAATTTTGTAATGAGCGCAGATAACAAAGAATTCATACCAGGAATTACTCCAAATACATGGAATTTTCAAACAGGTTTATATTATTTAATTGTAATCGTTTACCGTTATTATTTTAATTGTTTGTTTTATAGCGAATATCATTAATATAAATAGATAATAGCACCATACAAAGTCAAGGGAGTGATGGTAAATACGATTTAAATTTATCTGTTAATTTGTCTATATAAATAAATTTAATAAACTTGAAATTTAATATAGTTGGTGTCCAGGGAAAATTGCGATTGACAATTAATGGATCTCTGTATTTTCAAGGATTGAATGACTCAAAAAAACATGAATTTTTTACAAATTTAACAAGTGAACTCGTAATCATAATTCCCACAAAAGAAGGAAGATTGAGTTCAAATGAACGTAATCAAATTGATACATCTTCAACAGGATCGCAAATTCTTATCTCGCTTTCTATTAATGCGGCAAAAAATGATGGAATTGCTACCGCAACGATCGAAAATGATTTAAATCTACTGATACAAAATAAAGAATCGACAAATATATCAACGAGTTCTACTACAAAGTATTTAGACAAAGATTATGGATTTCGAGAAATAAGTAAGAACCAGTTTGTGTGTGTGAATGTGTTTTTGATAATTTACTGGTTTTAACTTAATTTTTTTCATTTGACAGTAACAATAAAGGAGTTCCTCAAATCAAATACGGAAAAATTAACTTTGTTTTTTGTAGTCATATTTCTATTTTTACTGATACTTTTCATAACAAAGAAAAGATCACCAGAGGTATCGAATTTTTTTTTTTTATTAAGTTGAACTTTTCTTGTTTTTTATTTTTTATTTTTTAAAAAATATCTTTTTAATGTCTAACGTATAAAAATTTAGAGTGAGAATTTTATCTTTCTCCAACTTGGTATCGCTATATTACGTACCATCACCTTTGCAGCATTTGCTTTTACAGCTACCAAAGCTATCCAAGTTCTTTACATACCGAGGTAAACTATATTATTCAAATAATTTTTAACCAATCAAATAATATTAATTCATATATATTTTATCGTCAAAAAAATCAGCATAGTATTTTTATTTATTCCCATAGGATTAAACTTGTTCCTAGCATTTTTAATATTATTTACTGAACGGGATCGAAAATTTATTGATTGGTTTGCAAAATATGGAAAGGTCGCTATTTCAGTTGCGGTATTATCTGGTTCAAGTATTGATGTGTTATTAATATTAAAATCGTATTTTATGGAGCTTGATCTTCTTAACGCTCCATTTTCTGATAAGTCTCTGAAATTAATTTTTTGGGGATCTTGCTCTGATATACTTCTAGCCGATATTCCACAATTTGCTATTCAGGTATATCATGTTGAACAAAATATTTAATTATAATTAATATACTTAATTGTACTATTACTAATCCATATAAATTATTTTAGATATCTTATATTCTTTATAGTATCGAAATTGAGGTTATTCTATTATTCTCTTTGATAGCATCAATTATTTCAATACTTTTTAACATACTTAGTAAATTAATCTTTATTAAATTTAAAGAACATTCTCCTTATTTAAATATTTCACAAGAGCATAATATGAACTAAGGAATTGAATAAAGAGATATGAAAATTTTGTACAAGAATCTTTTTGCGAATTTATTACGTATGTACTAAGCGAGAACATAATTAATGTTGTACTTGTATAATTAGGGTGGCTGCGCTACGCAGTCGCGCAAAAACCAGGAAAGTATATGAGTACATCTTAAAATTAAAAATTTCATATGGAGTTAAATTATATCGTTGCTTAATTTTACATATTTTTCTTTACCTATTATTTTGCACTATCATTACTTCGCCTCAGCTATGTTTCTACTATTTTATTACAGCTATAGTTGTACTTACATCGTTATATCATATATTGCTACCTTTTTATGCCCAGCTACTACCATACAGTTGAAAAGGGCAATTTAGATTACGCATAAGAATTATGACATGTAGTACATAGGTGTGGGAAAGGTAAATAAGTTGAAAGAAAATAAAAATACAATTAGACTATCTAGCACATTATTTAAGCCTTTAAATTCTATAAAATTCACATATAACCTGACTACAAAACAGAGTAAAAATTTATTGGGTACAGTATTAGAAGTTAGCACTTCCAAATGTCTGTGCTTAGGGTAGCTCGATACGTCGTAAATCGGAATAGATTGGTAGTGCAATCAAAATTCAGCAAATCCGGGACGGAATGGATCGAAATTGATAAATTTTGCTAATAACCCAATAATCCACAATAAATAAAATTTCCAGACGTTAATTTTGCTATAATATAGTTATTTATTATTAATTAATGCTGGCCTAAGCTTTAGCCGATTTTCTGAATTTTGTATATCGCATGATCATACAATATTGGGATTTTTGCTAACAATATGCGCGGAGTGTATGGTTTACTGCCATCTAGAATGACGAATTCGCAAAATCTTGCATTTGATTGGGCGTTAAAAATCTATGATTCAATGTGCTGGTGAAATATTGTATGAGCATATCGGATTCATGTTGCTCTGAGATACGTAGTACGTAATATCATATGATGGAACGAGAATACATAAACTATTCTCTATCGCTATCAACAGATTGCCTTAAGATTCAAATTGTGTTTATTGCAATTTATTTAGATATGAATTCGGTTTTATTGAATTTGTCTGTGAATTAACCGTCTGTAAATTAATTGTCTATGAACTAAGTTGTCTATGAACTAAGTTGTCTATGAACTAGGGATCTTACCCGGGTTGAACCTTTCTGACCCGGGTTACAACCCGATCAATAAGTTATAAGGTAGATCGCCCTATTTCCACAAATTACCCTATTTCCGCAAATTCTCTTTCTTTTTTGTTACCGCGCCATTTTTTAGAACAATTCACGTGACTTCATAATAAATAGCCTAGCATATGATATGCTCGATTAAACTTTATTATTCTACATATTTATTGCATCATTTTTATATCAATTAACTATTTGATAGATGATCTGATTGGCTCAAATTTCTTTAACTTCAAATTTTTAGCGCTATTACTAATTTATTTAATACACATTTACTCTTATTTTATTTATCTAAATGCAAAGAAATTTCAATTTTGGTTAAAGTCGGTTCAGATAAAAGTAAAAAAAAAAAAAATTAATAAATAAAAGAAATAAAAAATGCAAACTTAACTTAAAAGTTCCGGATTAATTTATCAACCTGTGCGAATTGAAAAGTATGTACGTTCGTACGTATACATACAAATATACACAAAAGCCACAAAGACAAAGTAGTTTCTTTTTCTTTGTTTGTTTGTGGCATAATGAATAAAAAAGTCAGTTTTTTTTTTGCACTATATATATAAATCCAAGATCTTCTTAACTCTATCTTAAATTAATTTCAAACTACTTCAAATTTCTAATACCATAGTTTGTCTTTATTTTATTTACTATGAACGCTATAAATATCATGAATACTGTGATGCTTTGAGTTATAAAGTACAAAAAAAAAGAGGTTAAGAAAAAAAAATTAAAACCAAAAATTAAAAAAAACTTTTGATTATTTATTGTACCTGATTATTTATTTATTTATTGTACCTGATCTTTCGTTATATCTGATAAAAGTATGTATATACACATTATATACACATTATATTCAATTATTTTTTTGTTTGTGACACATATAAATATTATATACACATATTTATTGTGTTGTGGTTAAATTTTTTTTTTAATGCTGTAACAAAAAAAAAAGAAAATGCTACTAGTAAAAGCTCAACATCAAGAAACACAAAATTTACATCAAATCCCTTTAGCAAATAAAGAAACTTCTCATCAGGCCTCTATTTGTGCTGCACTTGAATTTCTTGAAGCTCAAAAAACTAGCTCAACACCACCTTTAAGTGTTCATAAAGTCGCTTTTGAGTTTGGTCTTGCTGATCAAACCTTATGTAATGCAATACAAAATAGTGTTCCTAATCATCGTGGTTCTCCAACTATACTTCTATACTTACAGCCAGAGTTGGCAATGGACTATGATGGGTTCTGAATAAATTGTCAATGGATATTGTCTATTGAGCCAATGAACATAGTCTATTGGCATTTGCTAAGCAATATTTTGGTCCATTGGCTAACCTAGCTTACAGCCTATAAAGAGAATGAGATAGTTGGTTATTGTTTAAACATGCAGCAACTTGGGTTTGGACTCACCAAAAAGGCAGTCAATACAATAATTATACAAATTCTTAGTACTCAAGATCGAAAGCATCTATTTAATAGTACTCTGGGTTATAAGTGGTAGAAAGAATTTATGAAGATTATCCAAACTTTCATTTCATATACCTCAGGAACTCTCCCAGGCACGTGCAAGTAAAGCCAACCTAGTTGTTCTTAAAGACCACTTCGAAAAACTCAAAAAACTTTATGATGATTATTCTTTAACTCCAGATCACATCTGGAATATGGATAAGATGAGATTTAATATTTTTGCTTGATTACAAAAAGTTTTGACCAAGAAAAATACCTAACAAGTTCATAAAACTATAGCTGGAAATTTGAAAGAACATATCTCTATATGCCCTACAATTTCAGCTGCAGAAACCTATATTCTACCATTGCTTATTCACATGGGAGTTAATGTTTTTGATGAATTATTATCTGGTTCATCTGTCCCATCTGGCACTGTTGCAGGGTTTACTGATACAGGTTATATACAAAAAATATTTTTAGAATGTATATTGAACATTTTAATAAATCAATTTTACCTTTTAGACCAGTTTTACTTATGCTTGATGGACATTCTAGTTATATTGATTTGGTTAATATTAATTATTGCAGAGATAATAGAATTTTATTATATGTACTCCCTTCAAATACAACTCATATTCTTCAACCTTCTGAAACACTATTTAAAAAACTTAAACTTGAATATGATAAAGCTTCAGACAACTTTAGATTTATTAATAATCAAAGAATTGTTACAAAATATTCTTTTGCACAAATTTTTGGTGAAGCTTTTTTTAAAACTTACACTCCTACAGCAATTAGAAATGCTTATACTGCAACTGGAATTTGGCCTTGGAATCCTAATACAATTAATCCAGACCGCTTAGCACCTTCATTATCAACTAAAAAAAAATTAGAAGTCTTTTTTAAAGTCTTAAAATTATACAACTTGAAAAGGAAAACCAACAATTAAAAGAATATAATACCTCGTTAATCACACAGTACCCACCTAAATTTAATTCCAAATCAACTTTGTAATTTAATATGTGCGAAAAACTTATTATAAATTTCTTGTAAATATTCGAACGCTTTGTATTTATGCTTTTTAACCCAATTTTTTATATTAATGACCAATCATATTTATTCCATCATCACCCATGGCTGTAATATAACATGACTTGCTTTACTGTTAACAATTTAATCATTAATATTAAACTACGTGATGTATGTTACAAAAGTGTATTTACGTCAATCGTTAGTACTTTCACATTAGTAAAAATATAGAACAATTTAGGAATGTTAGGACATCCCAAAATAAAGCTTTTTATTTAGGATAATCCGAAAACCAACATTACTTGCCAGCACTCAAATAATCATTAGGTAGCACAAATTGTAATAACCTTAACTGACCTATCAGGTTCGTTTTATTCCGGACACTAATTAGATAATATAAAAATTTACAATTACTTTCATTTATATCAAAGACATTGAATTAAGAAAAGTCTTCACTGTAGCCTATAATGAGAGAATGCAATATGTATTTCTCTATATCAAATCAGAGTTTGATATAATTCAAAAATTTTTATTATATCGGACCTTATGTACATACGTACGTACGTATATATGTACGTACACGTATATACTTTTCTTAACACATAATTATTATAAGTTATTTAGGTGATTAATATAAATAATGGTTAGTTGGCAACTAGTTAACAACTAACGATTAGGTGTAGTTGATCCAGTTGATAGTTAATTGATTAGTTGTTGATTAGTTGAAAAGTTGTTGATTTTTCAACTACCGATTTGGATCACTACTTTACCCAAAAATATAAGTAATTCATGAGCGTTGTGGAGATGCAATGTACGAAGCTCCTGATATACATTCGTACGTATTCATGCATCCTTACTTATATTATTTATTACAGATGTAATAAATGATATAACAAAGAATGTGATAATTACTTACCAATGAGCAACCCGTTAGCCAACACTGCTCAATAAGATGCAGATTTTACGGTCCTAATTCATAGTACGTCAATTCCCTCACAAACAATCTAACAGCCAGCTTCCAATTGAATCTATTGTACATTAAATAATGTATCATATTGCAAATGTCAAGGTTGGGCTGGACATTGGACATGGACATTGGACAACCCTTGTCCAGTCCACTCCAATCTATTAGACCAAAATGTATTGGACATTGGACATTGTGTAATATATAAATCATGTGACAAATAGCCAATCAAAAATCTTCACAGTATCACACTTAGGGATGCGAGCTATACCTATACCGTATTATACTATTGGTATAATACCAGGTATAATACCAGTATTATACACATAGGCATAGGTATAATACCAATAATAGAAATATGTTAGCCAATTAAATTGCTTTATTTGCAATTCCGAAGTTTGCCCTATCATAATTCCGAAAAATTCCGGACCATAATAAACTGAGAGTATAATTATAAGTTACACCATGCTATACCACATTATACAGTATTATACCTGGTAGTATACTACCATTTTCTATTATACCGGTATAATCGCATCCCTAATCACACTGAAGAAAGTCATGATCACGTGATGAAGCCAATATTTATAAAAAGTTCGTTAAGGTTAAGATTAGCATTTATATTAGGGCTAGAAATTAGTGAAATATATAGTAAAATCGCCCAAGGAAGGCTTTTTATTAGGCCATATTTTTACAAAAATTTTTTTTAAAATTATTGGACAATTGGACTGGACATATGTCCAAGTATTATGTCCAATGTCCAGTCCAGTCCAATAGTATAAAAAATAGTTGGACATATGTTCAGTGTCAACACTGGCAAATGTTGTATAAATCTTCCATAGAAATATATTATTGAAGGAATATGATGCTAGAATATAAATGATAAATGATGTACGTACATAATTTTAAATATTAATAATCGTAGTAAATCTATGTTATGCAAAAGAAACACAAGCTTTTACTTCTATTCAATGCTAGTGATATGGGCCGATGAAAAAATCTCGGGCCGACCTGGCTGACCTTTTATGAATGATTTTGAAAATTCTGAAAGATACTAAACTTTCCCCACCATTTAAACATCTATTGAAAGTTATTCAAATTCGATTCGATCTCTTTTTCTGATCCTAATAAGAGATTCATATTCAATGTTGTATTATTGTCTAGATTCCCAAGATACCGGGCCGATATTTTCCGGGTCGGTCCATATCACTAGACTATCGATGAGCATTGATTCAATGCTCATCGATAGTCTCAAATAGTATTGCATAAATTTAAAATTGGAAACCTATCGCATCATTAACCTGATATGAACCTGGTTTAAATTAGATATTTGTTGCAAATAGGAGACTTCTAGGCGTTCAATATATGGACTGCTACCAATAGAAATTAGGCAGATTGACATTTTTTAAAAAAAATCTATACCCCAAATTTCACAGGTCACACCTTGATTAATTTTGAAGTTATCTTGATGATTAAATATTCAAAAGGAAGCTTAGAACTTAATCTTTCTTTTTGAATAATAAATTATCAAACTAACTTCAAAATTCATCGAGATATTAGCTGTGAAAGTTGAGGTATGGAATTTTTTTAAAAATGTCAATCTGCCTAGTTTCTATTGACAGCATATATCTGAATGGCGGTAGCTCTATAGGTAAATCAATAAATCCTATGAATGCACTTATAAATTTAAGGGTTGGACTCGGGTAACCCGCAGATGCAACAGATATTAGGTTAAGATATTTGTTACCTGGGTAAACCTATACGGGTAGATTATTACCCGAGCAACAATACCATAGAAAAAAGAACAGGAAATTGTACTTTTTCAAAATAAAAGAACATGAACCAAGTAGAAATAACTTTTAGATATTTGAAAAAATTAAATGGTATAAATTGCTTTGGATGATTAATGCACCACCAACCCAGAATATGTTCAAGAGCATTGATCCTCACTTCCTGAAACCTATCTTCCCGAAATACCATTTCACCGACCCATAATTCCGATATCCCTTTTTCCCTACAAGAGATATTTCTGACAGTATATTTTACAGATAGAAATTTTTTACCGAATTTTTTACCCGACACAACCAATTCTTTGAAATCGATAGACTTTTCACCGAGAAAACCTTTTCTCCGGACTCCTGTTCCCAGACAATATTTTTTCTGAAACCTTTTCACTGACAAATATTTTAATATATTTCACGAAAGGATGATTCTCCGAAAAGATGTTTTCACGAAAAGATATTCCTCAAAAAGAAATTTTCATTCTTGATTAATTGCATGACAGTGATCCCAACTCTAATTACATGCATGGGTTCACATTATCCGTGATCTTATTTGTTTACCCGGTTATACCCGGATAACCAAGAAGTCTAGCCGACAGTTAACCCGGGTAAGGTTTTTTTGAACGTGTTCAACGCTTTTTAGAATATGAGATAACCATGGCATATATAATTTGAACGGAAAAAAATTTTTGTTGAGAAATATAAATATGCAGTTAAAAATGGTTGGAAATATCGATTGGTAATTATTAATATCATTTATATTCATTAAAAAAATAATTAGCAATTTATCTTCATTTTATCGAATCCTTGATCGAAATTTTCACACTAACTTGCAAAATTTTTGTCCCAATGATAACTTGGATATTAATTTTTATTATTGCCTTTACAAGATTTACTACATGTCAGAATGGATTTGGTTACAAAACTCCACCTATGGGATGGAATCCTTATAATGCTGTAAGTATATTCGATTTTATAATAATTACGTATTATTGATATGCTTAACTAACTTTGTTAATATTTAAAGTTTGGTCTTAATTATAATGAAGCAACAATTAAGCAGCAAGCAGATATTATAGCTAGTGAAGGCTATTTGGAAGTCGGTTATAGATATATAAATCTTGGTAAAATTAAGTGATTCAATAATCATATATACATATGGCATTTAAAATATCATATATATATTTTTTATTATAGATGATGCCTGGCAAGCACCTATAAGAAATGCATTAGATAATAACACACTAATTCCTAATGATATCACGTTCGTACTATACACAAATTTATTATATGGGTTATAAAATAACTAAATTTTGCACGGGGTTACATGGCCGAAGGCCATGTAACTTAACCCGTGCAAATTTAGTTATTTTTTACAACCCATATAATAACCATAACATATTTTGTTAAAATAATTTTGCGAAATATTAAACTTATGTTCTAACTTTTTTAAGGTTTCCTTCTGGAATAAAAGGTAATCTACGTATTGAGCATTGCTTTTCTTAAAAATATGTGTATAGAAACTATTGTGATGACAAGAGTATTCGTTATAAATACATATAATGATCTATATCTCAAACATTAAAATTAGCTATAATAATACGTTGAATCTAAATAATTTATCTAAATTTTTTTTAAAAAATCCTTTATAACTAAATAATTAACTTTAGCTATATAATCTGTTTTTTTTTTTTTTTAAAGCTCTTGCAGACTATATACATGATAAAGGTTTACTTTTTGGAATTTATTCAGATGCTGGAACTAATACTTGTGGTGGTCTTCCTGGATCACTTGGTATTCATTTATTTTTATTTTTGACACTAAGCTAGAAGGTCTCAAAACATATAATAATACAAGTAAATTATAGACCACGAAAATATAGATGCACTAACATTCGTAGAATGGGGTGTTGATTATTTAAAGTACGATAATTGTTATAATCAAGGAATACCTGCACAACAACGTTATAAAGTAAGTTATAAGTACTCGAACTTTGATTGCGATAGAAATATTTATTATAATTGTTATCTAGGTAATGGGAGATGCTCTTAAGTCGGTAACCGCAGGCAAAAATAAGACTATTTACTATAGCATCTGTGAATGGGGGTAAGATGAATTAGCGAAAATATTTTAGTAAAACTATTATGCTTGATTAAATATATACAGTATACTAAAGCTTATATTTAATTTTTATATTAGAAAAAATGAACCTTGGTTATGGGGACATAGTGTTGGAGGCAATAGGTAACTATTCATATCTAATGATTTACCATATTATAATAAGCTTATATATAATTTAAATATAATTAATAAAAAATTATTTGTTATTTAAATAAATGAATTTAGTTGGAGAACAACTGATGACATTAGTGCATCCTGGGATTCGATCGTAACAATAATAGATTCACAAATAAGTATTACAGAATATGGAAAGCCAGGAGGTTGGAATGATCCTGATATGCTTATATTGGATTCTAATAAAATAACTTATGATGAACAAGTAACACATTATGTATTTTGGTCCGCCATGAAGGCCCCTTTACTACTTGGATATGATGTAGGTTTTGTTAATTAATTTTTAATTTATGATTATTTGATAATAATAAAAATATTAATAATAATTGTAAAATACATTATAGCTTACTAAGATTAGCAAACCATCAAAAGCATTAATATTAAATAAAGATATAATTTCTGTAAATGTAAGTTTATTCTTTAGTATTAGGATTTTATCCTTTGTTTCTTGTTAAGCATCTTAAAAAAATTCATAATATACTCTTTTTGCTTTATTTAATTCTGAAAAAATAGCAAGATTCTCTTGGATTATCTGTATGTCAGGTTTACTATCAAAGAGAAAATATAACTTATTTTGATATTTGGACTGGACCACTTAGTAATGGATATGTTGCAAGTTTGTATTTAAAAATTTTATTGTTTATTAAACTTAACTATTAAATCTTAAATAAAATTAATTTGTTTTATTGTTTTTTTTTTTTAGTTTTATTTAATCGTGGAATAGAACCAATAAATATCACATTAGATTTTAAAAATCATTGTCACCTTACAGGTACTATTGAGGTTTATGACCTTGTAAAACAACAATCTAGAGAAAAGTTTACAAATAAGTATGTTCACATATTAAATTCGATTCCTACATTTCATATTAATGATTACACTAATTAAATAAATAATTTACTTTTTTAAATAAAGTTATACTGCAGTAAATATTCCAAACATGGCGTAGAATTTATAAAACTTACTGGTGGAAATATTATTGACAATAATCGTCCATGTCTTAATTATTCACAAAGTGCATAAAAATAATTATACTTTCTCATACTTTCAACTCGGATAATCCAGCCTGATATGCATACGTACTAGTATATATCTTCTTAATTACGCACATAGCATGCTATCTTATTTTAGTCTAGTTTCTGCTACGAATTTTAATATACAGTATTAATATTTTTAAATAGAACCTGTTGTCTTTTCTCCTAGGCATAATATTGCCGTATAATCATTAATATTTTTTTATTTATTTTTTCTTTCCTATTATGTAATTTTTTTTCTTCTTTCTTTATTGATTTTTTTTGGTTAGCTCAACACAGTTAGCAAACATTCTAAAATTAGCAAGCGAAAGGAATATAGATAGAATTTTTATTCAATTTATACATTCCATTCAAATTGTTCAATTTATACAAGTTGTGCAATTTGTAGAACTCATACAAAATGTCCAAAATATATATGATTAGAGTAGTTAAAAATAGCAAGCACAGCCAACATGTATGCAGTAAAGGTCTAAAGTATATAAGACCTACTTTTTTTCTTCAATAAAAAATTTGACTCTGTTGAGTTCTTGACTTCAAAATTGGCTTATAGCATATAAAAGAAAAAAAAGAAGTGAAAAAAAAGTAAAACAAAAGAAGAAATAAAAGAGAAAAATAAAGAAGACAATAAAGAGGAAACAAGGAAATGTAAAAAAAAGAAAATGATAGTCTTTAGGTTATGCTTTGTTAAAATAGAAACACCAATTGTTCAATATTATCATTTAACTAAATACTGTAATAGTGGTAAAGTATACCTTTAAATATTGTTGTTAAAGTGGTATCACATATTAATTTAACCAATTTAAAAAAGCAAGTAAACAACGTTTTTAAAAACCTATATAACATAAATACCAATTCTGGAAAACTTACATGTGCTAATAACAATAATACAACTCTCTAAAAAAGATGTTTCTTTAAAGTGGGGTAGGTTTTATATATTGAACTACATACTGCATAAATTGTATTCTTGGTATACAAATAACCTACCAACCCTAAATGTATCAAAAGGTAACTCTAAAAATATCAAAACATAATTTTTTTTAAAGATTCTCTACGGTATATTATATTATATTATATATTATATATAGACTTTAACCCTAACCATAACCCTAGAATACAAACATATACTATTACAGTGCTTTTCAAATTAGTGTGATCGTCAGATTTCATACATCACACACCACACGGGAATCTGGAAATCTGGGTCTTTTCAAGTTTTGATTGAAGATATCTCAACACCCACTTGGCCAAATCCAATGAACATTTTTTTGGCTTACTTGTGGTCATTAGTAGAATCTGAATAAAAAAAAATTTATCGAATATGATTAGGTGGGTATCGAGATATCTTCATTCAAAGTTTGAAATGCACTTCTATTTAAATTTTTACAAAAATTTATCTCGACACCCACTTGGCTAAATTCAATGAATTTTTTTTTTTTTTTTTTTTACTTGTGGGCATAAGTAGAATTGAATAAAGAAAATTTTATCGAATATGATTAGGTAGGTATCGAGATATCTTCGCTCAAAGTTTGAAATGCACATCTACTCGGATTTTTACAAAATTTGTAATCGAAGATATCTCAACACCTACCTGGCCAAATTCAACAAACTTTTTTTTGTTTGAATTATAGAGATAATCAGAGTTTGAATAAAAAAATGTTCATCGAATTTAGTGAGATAGGTGTCGAGATAACTTCGATCAAAGTTTGAAAATAAATTTCATTGCACTTTTATTAATAGACATTGGGGAATTTTTACAACTACTTGGTTAACCAAAACGATATATCGTACGCTAATAGATGACACACTATAGAATCGGTAATTGACAAGGAATCTTTGGAATTGTGATTTTTTAAATGGGAATTTTTAAAAAACCAAGAATTTAAGGGAATTTTACAGATTTCTGTGAGATGGATGATCGACGGCTGATCACAGTAATTTGAAAAGCACTGTAATTCTACAAGTTTGTAACAATTATTTAAAAAATGTTCTTATTAAATTTGGTTAAGTTATTCTTGTTTAATGTTATAATAAACTTTTTATTAAATTAGGTTAAGTTTCGTTAAATTATTCTTGTTTGAAGATATAAAAAATTTGCTTGATTTCTATTGACTCATCCCATATAATAAATAGCTGTATAACGTTGTCAGACCAGGTCAGAAACTGATAAATATATCGCATTTATTAAATTAATAAATAGTTATCTATTATTTTTAAACTATAGTGAACTATAGCAATAGTATATATTTCTAATTTACAGTTTCTTTCCTTCTTTTTTTTTTTTTGCGAACATAAAATTGCAGCTTGCGAACACGTACATCTATTGCACTGTTCTCATGAGAACAGTATTTGGATCTGAAATTTTGAACACTAGTTATAACCAGTGTTTCGGCCTAAACCGAAACTTTTGGCCTACCTCCGAACGGGTGAAACTTCAAATACTTTCGAAACAAATAGCCAATAAAATACGAAAACTTTCAGATTATGTGAAAAACACATGTATAAATGAGTATAAAGTTATATCCGATACTAGGCGAAACTGGCCGAAACCTCCGAAAATAAATTGGTGAACTTTTCGAAATATTCCGAGTAGAATATCAAAGAACGTAAAATTCGAACAAGGTGGAGAGAAAATAGAGAAAAGACCCGAAACTTTCCGAAAGACAGAGTTTGGAAGGATGTTTAGAGGATTTTGGGTGAAACGTTTCGGACTTTGGGGAGAGGTTTAGGCCGATACACTGGTTATAACCCGGGTCGGTATTTTCTGACTCGGGTAAGATCTCTAATGACAATGACTAAAATTACTTTGTGAAATAAACTGCTGGTAAAATGAATTATCTATAAGACGAGCTTGTCTGTGAATTAAAAACAACTTTGGCTGTAAATTCATTGTCTGCGAACGAAGTATCTGTGAAATAATTTAATTTATTTATCCATAAACTATTACAGTCGTACTCCTGTATAGTCACCTCCTACATAATTACAACTTCTATATAATCACACAAAATTTTGAAACAATTTATTAATAACCTTATTAAAAAATACCTCCATATAAGCACATTATAGTTATAATCACATATTGTGTAAAACAAACTGAGTGATTATAGAGGAGGACGACTGTATCTATACCGATATAAAATATATAAACTAGATTACTATTTACTTATTAACTAACTGTGTATCACATAAACAACACCTTTAAAATTCTCCTTTGCCCTTGTTAATATAATAAAATTTTATAAGTTTCTGTTTTATTAATTTATTTATTTTTTTTATTCACATTATCTTCAATAAGTTTCAACAAATATCTTCATCTTTTATTAGTTTTGTCACCCTTTGCAGCTTCGTCCGTTTCGTCCATTTCGTCAGTTTCTTCGTCAGTTTCGTCATTTTTCTTTAAGATTTTAGTTGACGAAAGACGAAACCAGGATTCACGCTTCGTCAGCACGAAACCTCAAGATTTCGCTTAACAACTATAATCTAAACCTACCTTTGGTGTATTAATTAGAAATGTTGAGAAGGCAATTTTGCTTATATAATAGCTGATAAGAGTCTACACTGCTTTTAGATATCTCCTTATTTGGCCATTTTTCGTTCAAAATAGGTTGTAAAATAATAAAACAAAGCGAATTTGGCAAATCAACATTTCACGATTTTAGGAGCGTTGTTTAAGTTTATAAGGGCTTAACCTTAAATACTATATCAGTATCAGGTATGTACGCCAACAACAAATTTAGAAATATTATGCATTTAAAGCTACGTACGTAGGTTATCGCTATACACAAAATTTCTTTTATCAAGAAAAAAAAATTTCATGACATTTAATCTGATGAACGAATTAAAATTATATAAAGATGCTATTTTACCGACCGCATGGGACCTTGAATCATCACTTTTAAGCATAGATGGACTTAAAGTCAACTATTTAGGTGAGATGGTCTCAAAAGTTTAAAATTTATTTTCAAATTATACGGAATAAATTTATATTTTAACAAGATTCGCCTAAATATTTTAATGTGTTTGGATATTTTGAATGCATTAAAGGTTACATAATTTATTAATTTTTTGAAATAAAAGGACCAGATGATAGCAAAGTTGCGGCTATAATTCGAGCGAATAATCCGATTCCTTCACAGTGCAAATTTTTTTATTTTGAAGTTAAAATTATCGATAGTGGAAAAAATGGGTAATATGACATACAGTAAACTCTAAGTGCAGCTATATCTTATCTTTTTAAATACGAATTTTTATTTCTCTAAGCACAATAAGTTATTGCATTTTTTATAATTATAATCTGATCGAGATGCACTTGGAGAAAATTAGTTGTATTGGAATTGTTATTTGTAATTTATTTTAATATATAATTCAATCTCTTAAAAGAATGATTGGAATCGGATTTTGCACAAAGACAACCGATCAAGATAAAAAAACAGATAGTATAGATATCATGAGAATGCCTGGTAATAGGAATTAATATTCTTTTTTTTATTAGAACAATAGATCAATACTTTTTGTTATAATATATTTAGGGCAAGAAAATAACTCTTGGGGTTATCATGGTGATGATGGACTTTTATTTTGTTCCGGAAGTAGAGAGCCATATGGGCCATCATATACTACTGGTGATACTGTAGGATGCTATTTAAATTTCAGAAACAAGCTAGTATTTTATACTAGAAACGGAATAAATCTAGGTAAATATTACTTTAACAATAAATTTTATCGTTTCCAAGGTTTTGGTAAGAATTAATATTTTATACCTTATTTCAAGGAATTGCTTGCAATCTGCCTGACGACTTGGAAGGTACTCTATATCCTTGTGTCGGATTTAGATCACCAGGAGGATTCATAGAAGTAAATTTCGGAGATAGAGACTTTGAATATTCTGGTAATTTTTTAAATGATTCGTAGCGATAACGATAATCGGGTTTAGATCATTTATT